GAGCTTCCCAAAATCTCAACTGCCGGGTGCCCATGAGAGCACATGCAAGACCCGGGAACTGTGCTGGGCACAGTCCCACGTCCATGTAGCCTTAGAAAGACCTGGGCCTTTGGTCCCTTTATTTAAAAAACAACAGTGCACATCTGTCCCAGATTTGGAGTCCCAGCCTTCCCCACGTGGTGGGAGGTAGGCCCGTCCAACCGTGTGTGGAAGGATCTGGAAACCTGGCCGTGTCTCTTGCAGTGTGGCCAGTGCCCACCCACAACCCTGTCTCCTCTAGAAGGTAATGCCCAGGGAGAGAGGATGGGGCAGCCATGAGGTGGGGGCGAGCTGGGGTCCCACCAGGTTGGGTTTGGGGTGAACCTAGTGTTGGGTTTCTGAGGGGAGAGATCCAGAAGTGCTGGGCCGGGGCCTCCGGGAGGGGCCTGGGCAGCTATGGGGCTCTGGCTTGGCTACCTGCTCGTACCTTGCGGGCCCTGGCCTCCCGCATTTCAGCCCTGTGAGTCTCCCCGTGAACCTGGGTGAGGCCCCAGCTGTGGTGGCCAGCACGACCCCAGGTCCAGGACTGGGCCTACAAGCCCTGGCACAGACGGTCTCTGCTTCCCAGGAGCCCCGGCCATCTGTGAGAGACCAGGCCGCTCCCCAGAGGAGCCGCATGGAGGGCCCTGACTACCCGGAGGAGACGCCGGCCTTCCGTCCAGGCCCCAGCTGGCTGGCCAGTCACGGCTGCCCCAGAAATGACCGCTGACGAGACCGGCACAGCCCCTCCCGCCAGGCCCCGCTCACTGCACAAACTGATCGCTGGCGGACGCAGCGGGTGTTGTTTGAGCCCCGTGCGTTACCGTGTGGCCTTTATGCACCAATGGAAACCAAAATAGGGGTCATTCGCGTTTATAGAACTGCACCAGGACAGGCACGTGACGACGACGAGGAAGCTGTTCAGCTCCAGCATTAAGAACGGGCTCCTGCTGGATGCATCTGAACCTCAGAAATGTGTGCCTTCCGTCTGTCTCAGCCAAGCTCCAGCCTCGGCCCGAGCTCACGTTTCACGCAGGTGTTTTCTGGGCGGTTTCATTTATGCTGAACGTGAGTTTGCTCCTCAGCCCTTTTGATGTTCACGCATGCAGAGAGAGGTGCTTTACATCACAGACGGGAAGACAGACACAGCGATCTTTAACAGCAGAATAGGGCAGGAGGGGTGCGGGTGTGAGGGAGGGGAGGGGAGGGGAG